GTTTTATATTAAAATAATGTTTGGCCTGTGTACTAAAAGAAATTTCTAATTCAGGGTCTTTAGGTATTTGGGGTTACTTTTGGTTTTATTAAAAACAAAGTATACATTTGAGGGGCCGGGTGCTGTGGTTCACGCCTGTAATCCCAGCAGTTTGGGAGGCTGAGGCAGGTGGATCAGGAGTTCAAGACCAGCCTGGCAAACATGGCAAAAACTCCGTCTCTACTAAAAATACAAAAACTATCCTGGTGTAGTGGCACACACCTGTAATCCCAGCTACACGAGAGGCTGAGGCAGGAGAATCGCTTGAACCCGGGAGGCCTGGGCAACAGAGTGAGACTCCCTCCCCCCCCCCAAAAAAAGTGTACATTTTGGTAATCTAAACTCCATCTTTCACGGCTGAATGTTTCCTTAGCACCCATCACTTCCCCCTCAGTTTCTCTCCTTTGATCATCTCCGTTGATGACCTTTAGCTATAAGAGTACAGTGCACAGAGCAGCAGTCTGAGCTATAGGCTGTCCAGCTGCTGGTGCACCGTACCATGACTTCCCTGTAGTACAAGTGGACTCAGAGTCTTAGGCTGGGCGCAGTGGCTCACGCCTGCAATCCCAGCACTTTGGGAGGCCAAAGCAGGGGTGGATTGCTTGAGCCTAAGGAGTTCAAGACCAGCCTGAGCAACATGGTGAAACCCCCATCTCTACAAAAAATACAAAAATTAGCCAGGCATAGTGGTGCTCACCTATAGTCCCAGCTAGAGCTACTTGGGAGGCTGAAGTGGGAGGACCAGTTGAGCCCAGGAGGTCGAGGCTGCAGTGAGCCCATATCACACCACTGCACTCCAGCTTAGGCAACAGAGTGAGACCCTGTCTCAAAAAAAAAAAATTCTGCCCCAGAGAATTGGTTACTTAGAAGCTACCAAAACTACCAAAACAAAGGTAGTTTCTACTTCTGCCTAAGTATTTCTAGTGAAGGTAAATTCAACAACTTTCTAGATCGAGTTATTTGAGGTTCTTGGTTAGCACATTTGTCTATGTATTGAACCAAAAACTGCCTTCTTAAATTTAAAGTTGCAGGTCCCTGGTTTGCTCATGGAAGCATACCGAGTGAGTTTGCTCCCCCTCCGGCATCATGATGGCCTTCACACAGTTGAAGTCCTATCATGCTTCCTTTCCTAGTCCCGTTCCTGGTTAAATATTTGGAGCTTTTAATCCTGTCCCACACATAGGATTCTCCCTGCATAGACCCTTGTTTGTCAGGTGCTCTAGGTGTGCGGGCTTTTTAAGCACTTGATTCATACTGTTGGTATGTTAGATTTCTTATAAATAGAAGTTAGATTTCTTATAAATATTAAATCCAAGAATTTTTGTCTATTTTTCCATTTAAAATCTCATTGCTTTGGGGTTCTCTTTTCCTTCCACTACTACATCTGTGTGACCTCAGAAGTTTCTTCATCTGTAGGTGAGGTTGTAGGAAGAAATCCTACAACCTCCAAGAGTCCTTCCTGACCTCAAAACTTTCTGGTTTTGTGCAAGGATTCTGACTCTAGATTTGGTCCTCTGTCAGCAACAACCATCTTGCCCACCTTTGTGTGAATTACAAACTTGATTCCCACACCATATCAGGAGGTAAACATGCAACCTAAAAATGTTCTACCTTGATATCTCAATCCATAGACATTTAGAGAGGGTGAGGGTGGTCATTTTTGTCTTACTTCCATTTAGCATTTGGTTAGACTTTCAGGTTATAATGGTATCATGACCTGAGGTCATCTCAGGATAAAGACCCAGGAACTTTTTCTGGATAAATAATGTATAAAACCCAGTTCAGATTTCATTTGCCCATATTTACTACCTTTGTCCAAGTTTTTCTACTCATTCACACTAGAACCTTCTTTAGGAATTGAACTTTATTTCTCAGAAGAAATATAAAACCTTAGCATCTCATAGCTGAAAAGGACCTTAATGATCACCTAATTTAATCTCATTCTCATTTTATTTATGTATGTATTTACTTTTAAGATGAAGTCTCGCTCTGTGGCCCACGCCGGAGTGCAGTGGTGCAATCTCAGCTCACTGCAACCTCTGCCTCCTGGGTTCGAGCAATTCTCGTGCCTCAGCCTCCTGAGTAGCTGGGATTACAGGCATGCGCCACCATGCCTGGCTAAATTTTTGTATTTTTAGTAGAGACGGGGTTTCACCGTGTTGGTCATGATGGTCTCAAATTCCTGACTTCAGGTTATCCACCCGCCTCAGCATCACGAAGTGCTAGGATTTCAGGCGTGAGCCATGGCGCCCACCCTGTCTTTCTCATTTTAGATGAAGATACAGAGTCCCAAAAGATCTAACTTTCCCAGGAATACAGAGCTAGTTATGATAGAGCTGAGGACTAAGAATGTCAAGGTGTTTTGGCCCCTAGACCATGGTTTTTGTTACCACCACTTTCAGCTTAAGGGTTGCTCTGTGCATTTTTCTTAGACTATTTGCCAAAAGTGTCCAGGAAAAATTTCATAACTAGACTCTGTAGAAGACAACACTAACAAACAGGCCAACATAGTAATCTAAAATGTTGATTGCATTTTTTCTTTTTTTTTCTTTTCTTTTTTTTTTTTTTTTTTTTTTGAGACAGAGTCTCACTCTGTCACCCAGGCTGGAGTGCAATGGCCTGGTATCAGCTAACTGCAACCTCCACCTCCCGGGTTCAAGCGATTCTCCTGTCTCAGCCTCCCAAGTAGCTGGGAATACAGGCTCGTGCCACCACACCCAGCTAATTTTTGCATTTTTAATAGAGACGGGGTTTCACTATCTTGGTCAGGCTGGTCTCGAACTCCTAACCTTGTGATCCACCCATCTTGGCCTCCCAAAGTGTTGGGATTATAGGTGTGAGCCACTGCACCTGGCCTTGATTGCATTTTTATTTCCAAGTCTGCATTAGGAAGAAGTTAACAGTTGTTAAGAAGTGAAATTCACAAGACCTTCAAAGACCCAGGATTAAGATGTTAAATAAGGCAAAAATATTTGGACTTTATTCATGTGAATTTCTAATTAGTTCCTGATAAATGTTTAATTAAACACACACACCAGCAAAGTTCTACAACAGAATACTTTTTTTCATCTATATAGACTTTCATACATAGACATTCAGTGAATGCTAAATTATGGTTTTTCTATATATGTAATGACCTGACCTTCCAAAAATGGTTTGCTTTTAAATTTACTGATCATTCTCTACTAGAAAAGCCAAGGCTTAGGCCACACACTCAAACGTAGGAAATTCAGCTGTAAATCTCAAAAATATATTGGCAAAAGTATCTAGTGAATCAAGGATCCTTACATTTAAATAATTGCTTTTCGTGGATATTTTTTAAACATAAGGAGAATATTAACTATGAAATTGTTTTAGGGCAGCATTAACCTTTTCTTTTTAGATTTTCTTCAGGTTTCAAAACAACACATTTCTGTTTGTATGGAAATGATCATGTTGACAGTTATTTTTATGTCAGTATTTAAGGAGCATTCTATTATCAATAAAAATCTTTTCTAAAGATTGCAGATTTGTGAATTACAAACATAGTAGGAAAAGGAGCTCATCAAAGGACAGATACCAACTGAACAGATTTTAACACACACAGAAAATAAGAAAACCAATTTCCAACAAGAAGTTACTTTTTTGCCCTTGTAACCCAAGAACTTAGTTCGACTCAAGTATGAGAGCCTGTGTAGATACTAATAACTTATGAGATTTTCTTGAATATTATTTCACAATTTTCTGATCCATTCAAAATATGGCAGAATTTGTAACTAAGCATTTTCTAGTTGTACCAGGCAGAAACTATATCCTGGAGGGTAAAGAAAGATTCTTCATGAGTTATATAAGTGAAAATTATAAGACCTGAAGTGATATTCTAGCTAAATTATCAAACTGCAGTTAAACAAGAACAAATTAAGTGACAGTATTTTGAAAACATTAAACTTTAGATTGAGGAAATGTGCATGATTTATGGATTCCCTGGTAGCCAGGGATGCATGATAAATCTTTTTTTGTTTTAATTAATTACTCAAACATCACAGTCTTCTTAAAGACGCCTTTAAAATCAGACGTATTGTGATTGTATGTGCTTTTTTTTTTTTTTAAATTGGCAAAAAAAGAGAAAAAGGTTTCCTTTTTAAAAACTGCACACACTTTTTTTGGGGGGGTAATAAATGAACATTTTTTTGTTTGTTTTTTTTAGAACTGAGCTCTCCATAGACAAACATAAGTAGCATAACACAGTGTCTTTCCTCAGACATCATTCTGTACAGTAAATCAACATAAACAACTCCGTTCTTATTGACTGGATTTTTTCCAGGTGGGTTAATTGGGTGGGGAAAATTAATTAACCTTAACATTGGAGCCTCTTTTCTTCCTGTTAAACTTAAAGGATGAGTTCTTTTAAAAAAAAAAAAAAAAAAAGGCAATAAACCAACCAACAACTGTAATCTTTCATATAGAGGAAAATTTTTTAATGACTATAATTAGAAAATATGTAGAACAATTAGTATATATACACAGCTGTTAGGGATCATCTGAATGCATTGGGAAGATATGGATTAAATAGAAATCAAATGGTAATGATCAGAATTTCTCTCAAGCTCAGTGCAAAGTTGAATTCCAAATCTATGGGTTTTAAAAGCTGATACTACCTTTCTACACTGTCTAGAACAAGTGTCACAGCTTACAAAAAAAAAAAGTGGTGTTGAAATTTGGGAAGTGAGAAGTTCTCTTTCCTGTGTTTAATTCAGGAAGTTTAATTTTTTTTTTCTTTAAATTCATGCCACTCTTGTTAAATGTGGTAGCAGAAACACAGAAATTTTCATTTGGAAGTGATCTTTAGCAGGATCATGATCCTTTGTCAGATGCTTCAATTTTGCACAAATTTCTTTTAATGCAGAATTTTCATTTTAGTATTGTAAGACATATATGACAGCTGGGCATTTGTATAAAGTGTTTCTTTATTTTATGTTCAGCATTTACAGCCGAACAATACCAGCAACATCAACAGCAACTGGCACTCATGCAGAAACAGCAGCTTGCACAAATTCAGCAACAGCAAGCAAATAGTAATTCCTCCACCAACACATCACAGGTGAGGGATTTGTCTGTCTTATGATTATCCCTCATTGTTTCCCACCAGAGTTCATCTCTAATTACCAACTGTTGTCATAGAACCTTGCATCTAACCAGCAGAAAAGTGGCTTTCGCCTGAATATACAGGGTTTAGAAAGAACACTACAGGTGAGTATGGAAGCTGTTGCCTCTGCTCCCTATTTTAAAAAGTAAAACTAAGCACTTAGTTAAATGAGATGAAGATACTGTCTTCCCGTCTGACCTGTAGTCCGTTAATGTACTTCTTGAATATATAACCCCACCCAGTTCATTCTGTTGAGCATGTTAATTATTATTAAGATTTTTTAAATTATGCAAAAGTAACCTTTCCTACTGTTGAAAGAGGTAACTTTTAAACCTAAAGCATGATAAATGTTTGCCATTTAAACACATGTAGGACATAAAGCTGAGTTTTGAGTCTCTATGCATCTTGCAGGAAAATTTTATTTTTAAAAAGTTGAGGGGCCTGTCAATTTCTAGGTTAAATTATGTGACATTTTGTTGCTTCCATTTCTAAAGGGATAGTTATCTTATCCCAAAGGTGCCTTTCATTGTGTGTGTATACATACGTGTGGTGTATAAGATAGGTGAAGGAAGTTTACGTATTTATTCATTCATTATATGGATTTGCAAATCACTGAAATGTTTACTAGCGTATTTCTTGTCCAACATTTTGTGTTGGAGGTTTGCTGTTTCCACATTATAGAAGGCTTATTTTGGTAATCGACTTATACATATTATATATTGTCACATATGAAGCAAAATTTACAACTTAGATTACTTTTCATTTTTCAAATATATGACTATCAAAAGAGATAATTACTGTTGCATCTCAAGGTACTAAAAAAGAAAGATTTCGGTGGTTTGCCGTTTTTACTTACTATATTCAAACTGATTATGGTATACATGTGTAGCTTTGCTACTGATTTGATACTAAGTGATACTGATTAGATTTCTTTTGTATTTTCTTTTTAGGGTTTTGTTTCTAAGACTTTGGATTCTGCTAGTGCTCAGTTTGCTGCTTCTGCTTTGGTGACATCAGAACAACTGATGGGATTCAAGATGAAGGATGATGTGGTGCTTGGAATCGGGGTGAATGGTGTCCTTCCAGCCTCAGGTAAGAATAAAGACATTTAAATTGTTTGGGTTATATTTATAACATATATCTATAATATAAACAGCAAAGTTGTACATTGTTTAGATGTTTCTTTCTTTTTCTCTCTAGGAGTATACAAGGGCTTACACCTCAGTAGTACTACACCAACAGCACTTGTACATACAAGTCCATCAACGGCAGGTTCAGCTTTGTTACAGCCTTCAAATATTACACAGACTTCAAGTTCCCACAGTGCACTGAGTCATCAAGTAACTGCTGCCAATTCTGCAACTACTCAGGTTCTGATTGGGAACAACATTCGATTAACTGTACCTTCATCAGTTGCCACTGTAAACTCTATTGCCCCAATAAATGCACGACATATACCTAGGACTTTAAGTGCTGTTCCATCATCTGCCTTAAAGCTGGCTGCCGCAGCAAACTGTCAAGTTTCCAAGGTCCCATCTTCATCCTCTGTAGATTCAGTTCCAAGGTGAGTAGTTATTTTAGCCTAACATACCTGGAATAGGAGATCTAACTTCAGTCCTCCACCATTGTTCTTTACCTATTTCTTTGTGCTTCCTGTTCTTTTCTTTTTATACATTAAAAATGTATAGTTGAGAATTGATCACTTATTCATTCAAGAACTAAACAGTTCTTGAACACTTAATTCAATATTAAGAATTTGAACTAACTGGTATAGTGAATATTGCATATATGATCTGGAATGTCCCTTTCTTGCTATAGCAATAGATTATGCCAGGCACGGTGGTTCACGCCTGTAATCCCAGCACTTTGGGAGGCAGAGGCAGGCAGATCACCTAAGGTCAGGAGTTCAAGACCAGCCGATACAACATGGTGAAAGGCCATCTCTACTAAAAATACAAAATTAGCCGGGAATGGTGGTGCATGCCTGTAATCCCAGCTACTCAGGAGGCTGAGGCAGGAGAATTGCTTGAACCCAGGAGGCGGAGGTTGCAACAAGCCAAGATTACGCCATTGCACTCCAGCCAGGGCAACAAGAGCTAAACTGTCTCAAAAAAAAAAAAAAAAAACATATAATGCTCTCATTTTTCTTCCATCTTTGGATGGAAGGAGTTCTCTTCAGAACGTTTCTTTTATGATTTTTTTTTTCCACAGCTTCTCATGTTAACAGGTAGAATTGATAGAACCCTCCGCCCTATCACTGGTATGCTAAGCTGTTCTTTTTTTTTTGAGATGGAGTCTTGCTCTGTCACCCAGGCTGGAGTGCAATGGCACGATCTCAGCTCACTGCAACCTCTGCCTCCCAGGTTCAAGTGATTCTCCTGTCTCAGCCTCCTGAGTAGCTGGGATTACAGGCATGTGCCATCATGCCTAGCTAATGTTTGCATTTTTAGCAGAGATGGGGTTTCACCATGTTGACCATGCTGGTCTTGAACTCCTGACCTCAGGTGATCAGCCTGCCTCAGCCTCCCAAAGTGCTGGGATTACAGGCATGAGCCACTGCGCCTGGCCTTAAGCTATTCTGATTAATGTAAAGACTTACAGTATTCATGCCAGGTCAACTCTGAAACCATTATTTTTTGTGCTAACTTGCTTTCTTGGATTTCAGTAGACAGTCGAGAATTTTGCTTATGCTCCATTATGTTGTAGAATTAATGGTAGTTACAGTCCTGCTGTCTACAAGGTACTGTGGGAGAAGCAAAAGAAAAAGACAGGTGTTTTCAGTTTAGTTATAACTGCAGCCAGGCATAAAAGAGTGAGAAGTTC